ATGGGCCCGTTCCATCAAGGTGGTGTGGAGTCTGTCAAAGTGGAAATGGAGATAAATTCCATTGCAGCAGGTCCATTCTTTACACTGCACTTCTTCCACTGTGCACTCGCATGCCAAGTGTGCGTTTACGGGTCATTAGTCTATCAAGCGATTTGTTCAGGAAACATTGTTATGAAATCAGTCCCCAAACTTCTCTTAACAGTACAAGACCTTAACTATGAAGTTCTTCACATTTAAGGACTAAACTTCTAATATTTTTACATTTAAGGATAGATATGTTTCATTTTTACTCTTGTGACTCTGAAAATACTCAAAAACATGTTTTCTTATAAAGGTATACAAGTTTCTTACTATAGCACGATGCTTGATTGCATGTTGCAAAAACCATTGCTCGGATTTGTTTTACAAGTAAAATATTTTGCATTGCTCTTTTTATATAGACTGGAAGTTGAGCTAGAGCAATGTTGAGTGTTCATTCAATTTAGCATTAAATAGATAGAGTGCTTTAGTCATGTGTTTTTGGTGGGGACAAAGTGAATGCCTAGATTCCCCTTTTTCAATTATAAACTTAACTATGAAAATGTATCAACCATCTTAAACTAAAAGGGCAAGACTATTAAAAATATATTGTAATGAGAAAGGGAATAGAGTTTCTTTGTTGGCACCCTTATATGTCTCACTAGTTAATAGCAAGTGTACATTTTGAGTTGTTATGTTACATGCAGGAAGTTGATAGGAGCAAGGTACTTTAACAAAGGTTTAGCCGCATCAGTTGGTGACCAACTAAACTCCTCGTTAACAACCTCATTATCAACTGTGAGGGACCTTCATGGCCATGGATCACACACCCTATCAACTGCTGCGGGCAATTTTGTTCCGGGAGCTAATGTTTTTGGCCATGGTAACGGGACAACAAGTGGGGGATCGCCTGCAGCCCGTGTTGCAACTTATAAAGTATGCTGGCCCGAAGTTGGAGACGGTGCATGCATGGACGCAGACATCCTTGCTGCCTTGGATGCTGCAATTAGTGATGGTGTTGATGTGCTCTCACTGTCAATCGGTGGGGTGCCAAATGAGTATTTCGAGGATGGAATTGCAATTGGGTCCTTCCATGCTGTCAAGAATGGCATTACTGTGGTTGCTTCTGCTGGCAATTCTAGGCCAACACCAGAGACTGCGTCCAATGTGGCACCCTGGATATTTACAATTGGGGCTAGCACAGTTGACAGAGCGTTCACAAGTTATATCACGCTTGGGAACAAGAAGAAGATCAAGGTACATATACTCCAGTATCCATCAAATATTCATTGTTGCACCATCCAATTAATTTGTGATGCTTCCATTTCCGTTTCCAGGGAATGAGTCTTTCTGCAACAACTCTATCGCGTAGGAAATACTATCCACTGATCACTGGTGCAAGCGCTAAATTAGATGACGTCTCAAAAGTAGATGCGTATGTCATCAGTCCACAGTTTGTTTTTGGTGTTTCAAAGCATATAATCATTTTGTTTAATTATTTATTTTGAACAATTGTGCAGCAACCTGTGTGAGCTAGATTCACTTGATCCTAGAAAGGCTAAGGGGAAGATTGTGGTGTGTCTTCAAGGGGGAGGTGGAACAACAAAGAAAGGGGTAGCAGCCTTATGAGCCGGAGCTATTGGCATGATTCTAACAAATGATGAGCAAAGTGGGAATGAAGCTTTTTATCCCCCAAATTTCCACTTGACATTTTTTTCTTCCATCTGCCAATTTCCACCAAGGGCTTGATGCTTTTTGCCAGCCCACCAGGGCTTACCTGTGCCAACCCCCTACCCGAAATAGTACTCTCCTTCTACGGTCTTCCCTTCTCGTATGCCTCTAGCAAAATTTTCACCACTGCACCTTTAATTGAGCTGATGATTTCTGCTACTATTCTGTTGATATAGGATTTCCATATCTTATTTGTTTGGATACAGAGGAGACTGATCCGATTGCATATGGAAGACCCTTAGATTTCTCAAAATCACAAGATGGGATTCCTAGCTTGGTTTTTGGGATTTTCAGGTAAGTTCTCAACAATTCCTCTCAGAATTGGAGCTGTCCCAATATAACTTTTGAATAGAAAGTTAGAAAAAAAAAGGGAAAAAGAAAAAGAAAAAGGCGAGTAGAGAGTGAGAGAAGAAGAGAAGATAATGTTAATGGAATTAATATTTCTTCCATGCACATGCTATGAGTTTTAGCCAAAATGTGTTAATTTTCATTGCAGGGGAGAAGATAAGATTAACAATGTTCAGCTTTTAATTTTCTTAACTTGGTAGTCAAATTTTTACATTTTATTATTTAATGCATTATTAGATGTGAATTGCTGATGGTTAAAGGGACACATACTCTGTCGACATGTGAAGCAAATCCTGCCTTTTTGTACTGAAATGGATTAATATGTGCAAACTGGGTATATTCTATAAGAGAAACAGGACCAATTGCAGGTACAGTTCAATTAAATAGATGCTAACTAAAATTTTGTGTTTTTATCCCCCAAATTTCCACTTGACATTTTTTTCTTCCATCTGCCAATTTCCACCAAGTGTTTGATGCTTTTTGCCAGCCCACCAGGGCCTACCCGTGCCAACCCCCTACCCCAAATTGTACTCTCCTTTTACGATCTTTCCCTCCCGTATGCCTCCAGCAAAATTTTCGCCTCTACACCTTTAATTGAATTGATGATTTCTGCTGCTGTTCTGTTGATATAGGATTTCCAAATCTCATCTGTTTGGATACAAAGGAGAATAATCCCACTGCATATGGAGGACCCTTAGATTTTTGAAAAATCACGGGATGGGATTCTTGGCTTGGTTTTTGGGTTTTTCAGGTAGGTTCTCAACAATTCCTCTCAGAATTGGACCTGTCCCAATTTAACTTTTGAATAGAAAGTTAGAAAAAAAAGGGAAAAAAAGAAAAAGGAGAGTAGAGAGAGTGCGCAAAATAGAAGATAATGTTAACGAAATTAATATTTCTTCCACGCACATGTGATGAATTTTAGCCAAAATGTGTCAATTTTCATCGCAGTGGAGAAGATAAGATTGATAGTGTTCAATTTTTAATTTTCTTAACTAGGTACTTGAATTTCTGCATTTTATTATTTAATGCATTATTAGACGTGAACTGCTAATGGTTAAGGGGACCCATATTCTGTCGACATGTGAAGCAAATCCCACCTTTTCATACTGAAATGGATTAATCTGTGCAAACTGGGTATATTCCATAAGAGAAAAAGGACTAATTGCAGGTACAGTACAATTAAATAGATGCTAAATAAAATTTTGTGTTTTTATCCCCTAAATCTTCACTTGACATTTTTTTCTTCCATCTGCCAGTTTCCACCAAGTGTTTGATGCTTTTTGCTAGCTAGCCAGGCCCTACCCGTGCCAACCCCCTACCCCAAATTGTTCTCTCCTTCCACGATCTTTCCCTCCCATATTCCTCTAGTAAAATTTTTGCCTTTGCACCTTTAATTGAATTGATGACTTCTATTGCTGTTTTGTTGATATAGGATTTCAAAATCTCATTTGTTTGGATACAGAGGAGACTGATCCAACTCCATATGCAGGACCCTTAGATTTCTCAAAATCATGAGATGAGATTCCTAGCTTGGTTTTTGGGTTTTTCAGGTAAGTTCTCAACAATTCCTCTCAGAATTGGAGCTGTGCCAATATAACTTTTGAATAGAAAGTTAGAAAAAAAAAAGGAAAAAAGGAAAAAGGAGAGTAGAGAGAAAGAGAAGAAAAGAAGATAATGTTAACGACATTAATATTTCTTCCACGCACATGTGATTAGCTTTAGCCAAAATGTGTCAATTTTCATTGCAGGGGAAAAGAAAAGATTGACAGTGTTCAGCTTTAATTTTCTTAATTAGCTAGTCGAATTTCTACATTTTATTATTTAATTCATTATTAGATGTGAACTGCTGATGGTTAAGGGGACCGATACTCTGCCAACGTGTGAAGCAAATCCCATCTTTTTGTACTGAAATGGATTAATATGTGCAGACTGGGTATATTCTACAAGAGAAAAAGGACCAATTGTAGGTACAGTTCAATTAAATAGATGCTAACTAAAATTTTGTGTTTTTATCCCCCAAATTTACACTTGACATTTTTTTCTTCCATTTGCCAATTTCCACCAAGTGTTTGATACTTTTTGCCAGCCCACCAGGGGCTACCCGTGCCAACCCCTTGCCCGAAATTGTACTCTCCTTCTATGGTCTTTCCCTCTCATATGCCTCTAGTAAAATTTTCGCCTCTGCACCTTTACTTGAGTTGATGATTTTTGCTACTGTTCTGTTGATATATGATTTCCATATCTTAGCTCTTTGGATACAAAGGAGACTGATCCAACTGCATATGAAGGACCCTTAGATTTCTCAAAATCACGAGATGGGATTCTTGGCTTGGTTTTTGGGTTTTTCAGGTAAGTTCTCAACAATTCCTCTTAGAATTGGAGTTGTCCCAATATAACTTTTGAATAGAAAGTTAGAAAAAAAAATGGAAAAAAAGAAAAAGGAGAGTAGAGATTGAGAGAAGAAGAGAAGATAATGTTAACAAAATTAATATTTCTTCCATGCACATGTGATGAGTTTTAGCCAAAATGTGTCAATTTTCATTGCAAGGGAGAAGATAAGATTGACAGTGTTCAGCTTTTAATTTTCTTAACTAGCCAATCGCCTTTCTACATTTTATTATTTAATGCATTATTAGATGTGAACTGCTAATGGTTTAGGGGACCCATACTCTGCCGACATGTGAAGCAAATCCCACCTTTTTGTATTATTAGATGTGAACTGCTGATGGTTAAGGGGACCCATACTCTACCAACATGTGAAGCAAATCCCACCTTTTTGTACTAAAATGGATTAATATGTGCAGATTGGGTTTATTCTACATGAGAAAAGGACCAATTGCAGGTGCATTACAATTAAATAGATGCTAACTAAAATTTTGTGTATTTATCCCCCAAATTTTCACTTGACATTTTTTTCTTCCATCTGCCAGTTTCCACGGATACAGCAGAGACTGATCCCACAGCATATGGAGGACCATTACATTTCTCAAAATCACGGGATAGGATTCCTGTCTTGGTTTTTGGGTTTGTTAGGTAAGTTCTCAACAATTCCTCTAAGAATTGGAGCTGTCCTAATATAACTTTTGAATAGAAAGTTAGAAAAAAAAGGGAAAAAAAGAAAAAGGAGAGTAGAGAGAGAGAGAAGAAGAGAAGATAATGTTAATGAAATTAATATTTCTTCCACGCACATGTAATGAGCTTTAGCCAAAATGTGTCAATTTTCGTCACAGTGGAGAAGAGAAGATTGACAGAGTTCAGTTTTTAATTTTCTTAACTAGGTAGTCGAATTTCTATAGTTTATTATTTAATGCATTATTAGATGTGAACTGGTGATGGTTAAGGAGACCCATACTCTGCAAACATGTGAAGCAAATCCCACCTTTTTGTACTGAAATGGATTAATATGTGTAGACTGGGTATATTCTACAAGATAAAAAGGACCAATTGCAAGTACAGTACAATTAAATAGATGGTAACTAAAATTTTGTGTTTTTATCCCTCAAATTTCCACTTGACATTTTTTTCTTCCATCTGCCAGTTTCCACTGAGTGTTTGATGCTTTTTGCCAGCCCACCAACGCCTACCCGTTCCAACCCCCTACCCGAAATTGTACACTCCTTCTATAGTCTTTCCCTCCCGTATGTCTCTAGCAAAATTTTTGCCTCTGCTCCTTTAATTAAATTGATGAATTCTGCTGCTATTCTATTGATTTAGGATTTCTATATCTCATCTGTTTGGATACAGAGGAGACTAATCCCACTACATATGGAGGACCCTTAGATTTCTCAAAATCACGAGATGGGATTTTTAGTTACCATCTATTTAAATGTACCGTACCTACAATTGGTCCTTTTTCTCTTGTAGAATATACTCAGTCTGCTCATATTGATCCATTTCAATACAAAAAGGTGGGATTTGCTTCAAATGTCGGCAGAGTATGGGTCCCCTTAACCATCAGCAGTTCACATCCAATAATGCATTAAATAATAAAATGTAGAAATTCGATTAGCTAGTTAAGAAAATTAAAAGTTGAGCACTGTCAATCTTATCTTCTCCCCTGCAATGACAATTGACACATTTTGGCTAAAACTCATCACATGTGCGTGGAAGAAATATTAATTTCATTAACATTATCTTCTCTTCTTCTCTCTCTCTACTCTCCTTTTTCT